GGAGACTTACAACAGACAAACAGATGTCCGACCAACTGATCTGAATATGCTACACACACACACACACACACACACATATATATATATATATAGTTCGCAATTCATTTTTTTAATCTTCATCTTCCTATATGAGTAGGACCAAGCAAGGGCACCGATTAAAATTTTAACGGAGATGAATTAAATTTGATTTAATATTTTAATAAAATAAATAAATAAATAATAGCCAAGAATAACTTATTAAATAAAAAAATATATTAATCTTTTAATTTAGTCAACATAAATAAACATCTGAAATTATGCTAATTCTTCGTCATTTTCAAATCATTAATCATTCTACAATATGTTATTTAAACTATAAAATTTTATAAATGAAACCTTTGATGTTCTTGCTTCAATGTTTCGAAAAAATATTACATCAGAAATCCTGTCTACCATGTGTACAGTTCGGTCCTATCATGTATTAAAATATTTAGTTTTTTTTTGCTAAGAGGGCCTGGATTGTGCACGTGGCAGTCAGTGATTGAAGTCCTGATGTTTTTTTTACATCAGGACTCTTGATGTAATATTTTCTCCAATATTACAGGCCATTTGAATCAATTTTAGCTAATCAAATTGACAAAATTAACCGGTCTTGCATTTCAATACAAATTTAATTAGAATCTTTACCTTTTAGTACCCAAATGATATATTGGAGATTATACTAGCCTATTTACTCAAAAAAGTAAATAAATACATGATAATTTCATACAAATAAGAATATTATAAATAATGACCATCATTCCACTTATCTATAATCAATTAATACATTAAACAATAAAAGATAAATACATTTTAAGCTAAATATATTTATTAGTTCAATGAACCAGCTGAATATGATCCAACAAAGATTTGTTCGTATTTTGTCTCGTTCAAAACTCTAGCAAATGAAAATTTTATTCAAACATTTTAAAAATTGACAAATAAGCATGCTTTATTTATTTATTTATAATTTCTTATAAGATAAACAATAATTGCTTTTTTAAATGGGGCCAATGTGATTGTTTCAAAAATCTTTCGTGACATAAATATCCTAATTTATGTGGTGGGGTCCAGTACACTTGATTGGGTAAGGTACAATATCTTAATGAGATTTTGGTTTTTTGGTTTTTTCCGTCAAAAGAAAAATAAAATCGAACCAAAATTAAAAATAAACCGGACCAAATCGGTTTGGTTTATTTTTAGGTTTTGACCAAATAATGCCCTATTGTTTCTGTGTAGAGTATGTTTGTTATTAGGTGGCTCGTGAGCTTAGCTCGATGGCTAAGAAGCAAAACTAAAGCTAGCCCTGACGTGATTCGTTGGCTCGTGAGCCAGCTCGTTTAAAGAAATATTGATATAAAATATACTCACATATATTAAATTTGAAGCTTTTATCTTTAATTTATCAAAGATGAATATAAACTATTTTTTTAATTAATATTAAGTGATTTCTTATTATATATGATTATTTGTCATTTTATAATAATAATTCCTTAAATTTAAATTTTTTTCTCTCCTATATAATAAACATGTCAGCTTTTGAGCCGGCTCGAACTCGTAGACTTAAAACTCTAGCTTAAGCTCAAACTCATTAAAATTAATCGAGTTTAAGCTCAAGTAACTCAACTCGACTGGTTTACACCTCTACTCGTATCCCTAAGTGTATTTCTTGACTTCATGTGGCTAATTTTTTTATTACAAAAAACATCGTTAAATTTCAAACATTTATAAATGAAATATTGCTTCAAAATTACAGCCATTTCAATCAATTTTAGCTAAGTAAAATTAGACTCTTTACCTTTTAGTACCCAAATGTTATATTAGAGATTATATTAGCTTAGTTACCACAAAAACTAAATGAATTGGTGCCAATTTCATATATATATAAATAAATAAATAATGATCCAATCACAAAACAATCATTCCACTTATCTATAATCAAATAATAATTTAAACAATACAAAATAAATACTTTAAAAATTAAAATTATTTATTTATTTATTTATTTGTTCATTTTGAGTCATTAACGAGCTGAATATGATCAAATAAAGATTCATTTTTAATTTTGTCGCATTCAAAAATCAAGCTCAAAACAATCTACTTAATACTTATTTACTGTAAGCACCCGTATAAAGAGGAGCAATCATGTAATTTTACATTTTGCATCCTATTATCTATAAATAAAGGATCATTTCTCCATTAAATAATTAATCAGTCATTCTTGAAAGAATCATATTCTTAGTCTTCATTTGAGAAGATTGCGAACCTCCTTTGAGTTGCAATGCACGCGAACACCTATAAAAGTATCTGTTTATTCAAGTAGTGTAGTATGAAGTTCTTTTCTAGGAATGACAATATTTTTTCATTTTAGATCGTAGTTGATCTTCTCTATTCCGCCAACATGACTTTCAAAGGAACTTCACCGAACGAGAAAACTCCTTCAAACGAAAACTTAATGTGCACACACACACTCTCTCTTATTTTAGATCAGCTCCTTTGGTTTGATTCACGAGATAGATTCAGATTCAACATTTACATAATATTTAAATCACTAACATGAAACTTAATGTGCACACACACACTCTCTCTTATTTTAAATCAACTCCTTTGGTTTGATTCAGGGGATAGATTCAGATTCAACATTTACATAACATTTAAATCACTAACATGGCATATAATATACAACTAATATTATTTTTAATTATGAGACTGAAATGATATACATATATAATATATATTAATGGTCTGCTTTATGTAAAATTAACTTAAAATAACTTTTCTACTTAAAAAATTAGAAAAATTTGTATGCATACCTTGCAATCTCTTTGTATTTACATTTGTAACACCTAAAATTTAATGTTATACTAACTTATTATATCACATTATATTGCAGTGGCAATTTCTTGTATCATTAAAATCTTATAAATACACCACACAATTTGTAGATATTTACAAATCTTAAATGTAAACTTTCATATTTATCTATTTAACTTAAGCATGTAAAGTTATATTTCTTTTTTAAAAATCAGTATCGGTGACATACTTGATATGATATTAAAGATTTCCGTATATATATATATATATATATATATATATATAATCTTTATATTTATATATAAATTAATTTATTTTTTAATAGGTTAAAAAATCGAAATATCAAAAATTTATATTGTATATTTTTATTTTAAAAATATATTTATTTAATACATTTTTTATTATTTTTTATTTTAATAAAATAGATTAGCTTAATTTAAAACATTAAGTAATTATTTCGATTATTTTTAAAAATAACTGAATATATTATAAAATTTAAAATATACTTTATTTCAATTTAAAAATATAAATAAAATAGAATAAAAAGCAATCCCAATCACTCTTTTATTTGTTTTTTTTTTAACTATGTATATAATAATAATAATAACTAAACAAAGGTTGGTGGCGAAAATGATAAAAATATTAAAAAAATTGGGCCTTTCCTTCACCCACCCAGAGCACGGACTGGCCAAGGGTCCAAGTCTACAAAAACGATTTAAATTCAATTATCTTCTTAATCAACATGCTGAGGCTGCCATCAATGTATTGGAAACAATATCATGCACTTAATTTCAACAGTCTTACAATCATTCATCCATCAAATTCATCAACTATAATCATGAAGGCACAAATATTAAGCTATTTTTGCTTTAAATGAGTCACCCATGGTTCTTAATTTAAAGTAATTTTTGTCATGCGTTTTTCTATAAAATTAGGGGCTTTTTCACACATGCTACACAATTTCTATGTAATTACACATCTAACCTAAATTTTACTTTTTATATTTATACCCCCCAAAATCTTTTATACCATTTTAAGAATGCAAATAACATTGTGTCTCGTTCTGCAATTTTTCAATTATTTGTGAATGTGTTGGATCTCAGTGAAACACTAAGACATTAAATTATTACTCTACGATCACGATTTTTCCAACAAACAAAAAAATTATTATTACTTATGCTCATTTTATTAAAAAATGCCTTTTAATATTTTACTAGTGTTTATTGAGGTGGTTTTATTAATACTGAATTTCCAATGCTTATAATCATTATTCGAAATTATTCATCAAGAAAAAATTTTACCCCTAAATTTTAAATTTTATTAGAAAATTCAAGAAATATTTACTTATATATCATTCAATTCCTAAGTAATTGCATGTCTGACACCCAAATTTTAATTTTACCATATATGTATACCACCTCTTTTATGTATAAAAATGTGCATTCTACTTTCTATAAATTAAGATAGTGATATTTTTATGTGATAAAAAATTATTCGGCATTATAAATGTAAACAAGTAAAATTATAGGGTCAATTATGTCAATACATAAAATTTGCGTGGTATGTATGTAAATGCCTCCGTTGACCTCATTTGGGCCGCAATTTCCACTGACCCTTGCCATGTACTTTCAACGGTCCGATTTCCGGTTTCCGCAATTTCCACTGACCCTTGCCATGTACTTTCAAGTTTCAACGGTCCGGTTTCATTATAGAGTTCCTCCGCGTTGCCACCAACCCCAATCCTTTTATTTAAATTAATATATCCAATTTTTCACCCTTGTTTAATTTAGAATAATGCGAATTAAAACACAATATACATGTACTCTATGTCGCTCTCGAGCCTAAATACACATATATGAATTACTGCAATATTTAATTCAATTTTTGAGAGCCGAAAATTAAATTTTCTACGGGAAATTATAACATTAATATTTTTAAATTAATTTAATGAAATTTTAATTAATTTATTTATTTATTAAGATAATCGTCACCTACACCGAACCACCAATCCCGTGACCAAACCCAACCCATCACTTTCGTATCCACGTGTCGACCCACCAACCGTCCATATCGGACATCCCATCTGACGGCCATAATACACTTCCAACCAACCCCTTCAATCCCATTATTTAAACGCAGTGATCCTCTTTCGAAACTCAGGAAAAATCGCAACTTGGCTCCTCGTAAAAGACGCGATTTTTCCACCCTCTGTAACACCAACCACTCTCTTCCCCTTTCGACCTCACCTCCGCCATCAATGGACGCTTGCAAGGTAAATGGGCTCTGTGTTCAGGGACACGATCCACTTAACTGGGGCGCAGCGGCGGCGGAGTTGCAGGGCAGTCATCTTGACGAGGTAAAGAAGATGGTGGAGGAGTTCAGGAGACCGGTGGTGCAGCTTGAGGGTGAAGATATCGCAGGCCGCCGCCGTGGCCATCGGCGGCGGTGGTGCTACAGTCGAACTTGCTGAGTCGGCGCGCGCTGGTGTGAAAGCTAGCAGTGATTGGGTGCTTGAGAGCGTGGACAAAGGAACTGATAGCTATGGTGTCACTACTGGATTTGGGGCAACGTCTCACAGACGAACTAAGCAGGGAGGCGCTTTACAGAAGGAGCTAATCAGGTAAAAAAAGATTATATTTTTAGCTTTTTTTACATTTTAATTAGTTTTTTGGTTTGAATGATTCTGTATGGAATTTGCCTGCAAAGCTGCTTTTGATGCTTTGGGTTGGGTTTGTTGTGGCATTTATTTTTATTTCTTTATTTTGGGAATGGCGTGCTAGACATAAATTTTTATGTTCGAGATTCAAATTCGGGAATTAGATAATAGTTTTTAAAAAAATATATCAACTAAGCTTGGATCGAGTAGGTTTGGTTGACGGGGGATCTGAAAGTTGTTTCCGTCATCAATGGAAGACCAAGAAGTCCACGCTTTTCTCCTATTATAACCATGACAGGCAGTTTTTTAGGTGATCAGTTTATTGGTCAGCTGATAAGTGAAGCTTTGTTCGGGGGTTTCAGGGATAGGCTTTTGTTCTGGCGTGGCACGTGTAGTGGCGGGGCGGGGAATGAAAGTTCTATAAAAATAGATGTCACGTCATCAATAGCTCTAAGCCATTGTTCTATTTATTTTATTTAAACTACATAAGATCTCCGCTTTACAGATTCATCAGAATAAAAAAAATGGTTATTTTATTTTATTTTATTGATTTCCTTTGCCAAGATCGCTTTTTTATCTAAATTATATTTGATGCGTCCTTTATGGCGTGATTTGGTTGCTTTCTTCCCCCAACAGCATGAATGATTCAGCTGAGCTGAGGAAGAAAGAAGATTGAAACAAAGAAAAAAAGGAAAATTACATGCACAGCGCCTAATTCATAAAAGAAAAAAAGGAAAATTACATGCACAGCGCCTAATTCTTATGAATTTACTTATCTCACCCCCTAAAGCTTCATTTTACACAAATCAGTTTATCTATGAATAAAAAGATGAATTTTGCTATTAAAAGATTATTAAAAGATGAAAATGGATATTACATTGGATATAATATTCATAATTATAAAAATTTTAATGCGAGTATTAAAAGATGAAAATGGATATTACATTGGATATATTATTCATAATTATAAAAATTTTAATGCGAGATAACTAAATATAAAAAATTTGAGTGCTATGTATTTAAAAGTCTAAAAAAATGAAATTTTATTTATTTTTTCCAGTTCTTCATCTGAAAAAAACAATTTTTTTTGGTTGATTCAGATTCCTCAACGCCGGAATATTTGGATCAGGCAATTCGAACACCCTTCCCTCTTCGACTACCAGAGCAGCAATGCTTGTCCGCATCAACACCCTCCTCCAAGGCTATTCCGGCATCCGATTCGAAATCCTTGAAGCTATCGCCACCCTCCTTAATACAAACATCACACCTTGCCTCCCTCTCCGCGGCACCATCACCGCCTCCGGTGACCTCATCCCTCTGTCCTACATCGCCGGAATCCTCACCGGTCGTCCCAATTCCAAAGCTCTCACTCCCAACGGCTCCACCGTGGATGCCGTCACTGCCTTCCATCTCGCCGGCATCTCCACCGGCTTCTTCGAACTTCAGCCAAAAGAAGGCCTTGCACTCGTTAACGGTACCGCTGTCGGCTCCGGTCTCGCCTCCATGGTCCTCTTTGAAACCAACATCCTCGCTATCATGGCGGAGGTTCTCTCCGCTCTGTTCTGCGAGGTGATGCAGGGAAAACCAGAGTACACCGACCATCTCACCCACAAGCTCAAGCACCATCCAGGCCAAATTGAAGCCGCTGCTATCATGGAACACATACTCGAAGGCAGCTCTTACATGAAAATGGCTAAAAAGCTCCATGAAATGGATCCTCTTCAAAAACCAAAGCAAGACAGATATGCTCTTCGCACTTCACCGCAGTGGCTTGGACCTCAAATTGAAGTGATCAGAGCAGCAACGAAATCTATTGAAAGAGAAATCAATTCTGTTAACGATAATCCCCTCATTGATGTCTCGAGGAATAAAGCTCTTCATGGAGGAAATTTCCAAGGAACTCCCATTGGCGTCTCCATGGACAACACCAGGCTCGCCATCGCTGCAATTGGAAAGCTCATGTTCGCCCAATTCTCCGAGCTTGTTAACGATTTTTACAACAATGGCTTGCCTTCCAATCTCACCAGCGGGCGAAACCCGAGCCTGGATTACGGCTTCAAGGGAGCTGAGATAGCCATGGCTTCCTACTGCTCTGAGCTCCAGGCTCTCGCGAATCCGGTGACCAACCATGTGCAGAGCGCAGAACAACATAACCAGGACGTGAATTCCTTAGGACTCATCTCTTCCAGAAAGACAGCAGAGTCAGTCGATATATTGAAGCTCATGACCACCACCTTCTTGGTCGGTTTATGCCAAGCTGTAGATTTGAGGCATTTGGAGGAGAATTTGAAGAATGCTGTTAAGAATACAGTGAGTCAGGTGGCTAAGAGGACTCTCACCATGGGAGTTAACGGCGAGCTCCATCCCTCGAGATTCTGCGAGAAGGATTTGATCAAAGTGATTGATAGAGAGTATGTGTTTTCTTACGCAGATGATCCCTGCAGCTCAACTTATCCTCTGATGCCGAAACTGAGAGCAGTCCTTGTTGAACACGCCCTGAATAATGGGGACAAGGAGAAGAATTCTAGTACCTCAATCTTTCAAAAGATCTCATCTTTCGAAGCTGAGCTGAAAGCGGCAATGCCGAAGGAGGTGGAAGCGGCGAGAGCTGCGTTCGAGAACGGTTCGCCGGCCATTGAGAACCGGATCAAGGACTGCAGGTCTTATCCTCTCTACAGGTTTGTAAAGCAGGTTGGTGCTGGTTTTCTAACAGGGGAGAAGATCGTTTCGCCCGGTGAAGAATTCGATAAGGTTTACAATGCGATTTGTGAGGGGAAGGCGATAGATCCTTTGCTCGAGTGCTTGAAGGAGTGGGATGGAGCTCCATTGCCGATCTGTTAGAGAATCATATTACAGTGAAAGAAGAGATTCGGAAAGAAACAAATAAAACTGATCTTTTGGAGATTCCTCCTTTGTTTTTCAAGGTTTGATTAATGTGGGTTGTATTTGTAGTAATTGTTGTTTTGTTGTTTTTGCTGTTTGTGATGTGGTAGATCAATTCGATCATTTAAAGAAATTTCAATCTTCTGTAATAGAAAGCTTTCAATGTTTGTGTTTGGTTGGAGTTTCTCTAAACAAGAAATAACAGAGCCAAAATGCACGTCTTTACTGCTAACTCTTATGTTTCTGTCTGATTTTGCAAAAAAAGAAATGTCAATTAAAATTTCTTTCTTATTAAAAATTAAAAGTTAAATGTAATCCATCTACTAAAATTTATATACTTATATATTTTATAAATATATTTATATATTTAAAAACTGAAATTTAATATTTTGTATAAATCATAATCACATAAAAATAATATTAGTGATAGTTTTAATATGATGCTGAAGATTAAAAATATAAGTAAATATTAAATACTTATAAATTATATGGTAAATTTGTAAATTCCACATTTTCTTATATAAATTCCCTCACATATAATTTTAATTATTGACATTTTTTTAGGCTTATAAAAATTTGGTGAGCTGGCTATTCAAACGCAATGATTAGAGTGACTATATTGCTTGGTCTTGAAAGGTGTTAAATACTCTCTTACGGTGCATGGCGCTAAATAATGGTATTTTTTTCTAATAAATCAAATAAGTTGGTGCATTTTTGCATTAGAGAGTAATAATAATAATAAATTTTAACTATTCAGCCGCTATTCTATTAAATAAGGCTGTCAACACGGCTCTTTGTTCGTGAACAGCTCGTTTTCGGCTCGTTCGTTAAGTTAACGCTAAGTTAACGAACAAAGATTTGTTCGTTCGTGTTCAACTCGTTTTGGCTCGAAATACCGCTAATCAATTATATATATATATATACATATATATATAT